CCCCCCCCCCCCACCACTATCGAAACAACAGCAGGGCCACCAGCCCGCGCCCCGCTCACTTACGTCCACAAAGTCTACTAAAACCACAACAAGAATCAACGGCGCGGCCCGACGCCCATATCGCGCCTCTCGCGGATGTAGTTCCCGGCCCCCCTGCCGCCGTAGCCGCCTCTTCCGCGTCCCCCTTGCCCCCCCTGATAACGGTTGTTCGCCGTCTGCCCCGGGCGGTTGTACCCTCGGCCCCCTCCCCAGTCACCGCTGCCGCGCCCGCCGCCCCCCCGGCCGCCGCCGCCGCCGCCGCCGCCGCGCCCGCCGCCGCGACCTCCGTCGTCTCGGTAGCCGTAGGCCCCGGTCCTCGCGTCGATGAGCCGCTCGTTGCTCTCCACGAGATTCGCCGCCTGTGGCGTGAAATGAATCGTAGCAGAAGGGGGGGAGGAGGGGGGGGGAGGGGATCACTAGGTTATCGTGCGTTTGTATCGATTCGTGGGCAGGCAAAGGGGACGTGTGGAATTACCCTGCCTGATGATGCCATGAAGCTTAGGAACCATGTTTGAAAAACGGCGCTCCAAGTGAAAATACCGACACGCAATGTGGTGGCAAGGTTCGGGGAGTAAGGGCGAGAACACAGCAGTGGCCAACAAAAGCTCTTTCTTTACTTGTCTCGGACCAACAGCCGAAATGTGTGGGGAGAGGTAGACAACTGCATCATATGCTGAAGTAATGCACAGTTGAGCATTGACCTGGCAGTACGAACTTAATGAAAGATAGCACACGGGAGGGGGGAGGGGGGGGCACCCTCACCAGCGACGACTAGGACCACCCGATTCTTCAGGCTCAACTAAGGTTTTGCCACGTCCTTAGCGGGCCGGCATGCGCAACGTTACGGGGCGCTTACACGCCATCAATACAACCGAGTACCACCAGAAAACAAACACAAGAGGGAGCAAGCAACCCGAATGCGCGTTTGTCGAGGTAGACTGCTTGTTCAAGCAAAAGCCGCAGCCGGTCCGATAGATGGACAACAAACACACGCTTTTAGAGCTCAGGTCCAAACAATTCCGGCCAACAGCTTACGCTGCAAAAACAAAGGAATCGAGACGGCCGGCGGAAAATACGCGGTAGCAACCGATCACTCAGCTAGAGTTTGGCCACACCATTTGTTCAGGCTCATTATATCATATTGCCATCCTCGTGATCGGTACCATGGGGTCTCTCGTACACATGCCAACAAGCCTCGTCCGACTATGAAAAAAAAAATCCCTCCACTTACTTTTCTTCCAGCGTGAGCTTACTGCGTACGATGTAAACATGTCTGAAGACAGATAGACGACAACGACAATGTTACGATTTGCCAAGGATAAAAGTGAAGGGGCGGACCGGGGGGCGGATAGGCTACAAGCAGAAGCGGTACACTTTCAAGCGTAGAACTGATCGCTCAGCTAGAATTTGGCCACACGATTTGTTCAGGCTCATTATATCATTTTTGTTTGCCATCCTCGCGATCGGTTTCTCAAAAGTGTACCCATCACTACCAAACTCTCGAACTCGTCTCAACAAAATCAGAAGCTCAACACCGAAAATGTAACGGAAGAGAGTGAATGACACCGGCTACACCTTTGCTGACTTGCAAGCCGGCAAGCCTCCAGACACTATGAAAGCAACGATGGTACTTCACGTGACAACACCGGTGATCAAGAGCTACAAAACCCACAACCACCCGTCTTCGAACTGTGTTTCCCGGATTCATAAAATGACACGGGACTGTCCGCTGTCGGCTCCTACACCAAGAAATTCGCCGTCTTAGGCGTGACAAAGACGACACAAGGTGATAGACACGAGAGGCATGCATGCATGCACCGCACAGGAGGTCTTCTGAAAGACACACAATCCCCCGGATCGGCAGTAGTCCGATAAGAGGACCGAGGCCATCACGAGGCTGGGAAGGCCAGCGGATTGGTCAAAAACGGGATAAAAACTTGAACAAAAACGTGCGAAAACGAAAAAAGATAACAAAAAAAAATATCTACCTTATCGGCGAACTTGAGCGCCAGCAGCTGGAGAGTGTTCGGGTCCTCCTTCCGAAGCACCACGGTCTCCGTGGGCTGGTCCCAGCTGCCGTACAGCTCTTGGCTGAGCATCATCTTGCTGATGATGGAGTGTGCCTTGCTCTTCTGCATGTCGAACATCTCGCACAGCGTCGGCAGGCTGAGCGACTCGTAGTGCGGCGAGTACGTGAAGAGGTACGTGCGCAGAGCCTCCACCTGTCGACGGGTGCCCAGACGATTCGTTTGGTTTTGAATTTCGGGGAGAGGGTTGGTTGGTTAGCATAGGGGCGTGCAGGGTAGCGGCAACAACTTCCGGGGGAACAACAGAGTCGCCACATGGGGCTATTTCGTGCATGCTGTAGCCGACATCGGCCTATCCAGAGCACCGGCGACACTCGCCAGTCGCTGCCAGAGATACGATCCCTCACTACAACATCGGCACAGGCACTGTCCCAAAATCACCTTCACCACCCGCCCGCGCTAGAGTACCAAAAGAGACGCGTCCCAAAATTACGGGCAGGCGGTAATGTACAAAGTACGGCGGCGTGTGGTTACCTGGATCTTCTCCTTCACCATAGCCTTGACGAGCTCGGCGCAGCCTTCCCCGGGGATCAGGTTCCAGACGTCAAGCCTGCACGAAAGAGCAAAAAGGTTTCCACCGACACGGAAGACAAGAAAAAAAAAAATCGATTCGCAAACGCGGCATGGTGCTAAGCTTAAGCCAACAATTTCCGGCGCCGTCTTGGGCATGTATGTGTACACAGCTTTCCTATGCGTACGGCAAGCCAACGTAGGAACAATCTACAAACCCGTGGCTCAGAGCGGATGGATGAACGCGTCGGAAAAAAACGGAAGCTTTCCTTTCGACTGCAAACGAAGAAAAGACGGACACGAGAAAACATCCCGTGAGGTCATATCGGACCCAACGCGAGTGTGTGCGA